TTGACCGAGCCCTTTGGAGTAGTTAAGAAAGATCCTTGTAGAATTCATTCATTTCAGGTGCACTGCAATCGGTCGGTGCATACGCGGATACGTCGAATAAGCATCGACGCTTCGTCCTGTAGCTGTTGACTCGAACTGAACCGTTGAAACGTACAGCGCACAGTCGGCTACTGACTGGAATCCAGTCAAGAAGCGAGCGCTCAGCCTGGGCACTTAGCGCAATCCCAACACCAGCAACAACGCGAGCTTCGGATGCCGAATCGCCTGACATACGAAGGGTGAAGCGTGAGGTTGGGGTTAGATCAGGAGAACGCAGAGAGATAATGGAAGTGGGGTCANCATTGAAAGTTTCGAGGGTTCTAGCCAGGGCAGCTTGTTGGCCAATCTGATAGAGCGTGCGAACATTGAACGCGGTTAAGTGAAAAAAGGATTTTGGCTTTAAAAATCCTATAGCTTCTGAATCTCGGGCCTTGATGCTAAAACGCTGAGTGATATTCGATGAGTGGCATCTGGGATTAATCGGGGTTGAGAAGAAGAACTAGTCAGAAGGGAAGGATGGTTTTCCAAATGGGTGCCTAAAACTTTAGGGCGCGACATACCTTGCGGTAGCCCACACCGACGAAGGGGGTTTCTTTGGGAACCCTAACTGGAGCCTTCGACTCAAAAGTCTGACCGACAAGGTAGAGGGGCGTAAATCCAACGCGAGACCGTGAGCAAAGCACCCGTGTGGGAGCTTCCATAGATCTGTCACGCAAGGCCTTTGGATTTTGGTCAAGTTTGTTGTTCGCTGGTGCGTTGATTGTCGGTCCGCTTTTCGGGATCGGCCCTTCGCTTCATGCACTCAATGATACAAGCGGAACATGGACGGGACAGCACCTTATTGGCTGGGGGCTGCCCAGCTTGGGCGCGCGGTAGCTGTCTAATGAAGTGCGAAGACTTTTCCCACCATCGAGAGGAAGCCCCAGGTACCCCTTCTCCTACGTCCATCTAGCGGGGGTTTTGCCGGTAAACTGCCCCTCACCGTGTTTTTTTACTGGAGTGACCTCTGGATGGGCGGATGTGGATAGAAAAGGAAGCCAAGAGGTGCCCTAGCAACTGGCCTTGTGAGACTGAGCTTCGTCTGGTCTCTATCCGTTGACCTTTCAGGCATGATTGGATCTGCGGCTGTGAGAAGCCATCCTGTATAGCTCGCAGGGTCATTGAGGCGCGCAAGCCATCACACCACGTCCAGGTGCAGTCTCGTCGTGATGGATGTATATATATATATTTGTATATGTGTATATATATATATCTGCAGCTTTGTGCCAATACAACCAAAGAATGTAAGGAATAATAACCTAAAATCTGTTTGAAGTTATTTGCTGATTTTTCGGGATAAAGATGAATAGGGTTCATAAACGCGCACCCAGTTAATCTGACCAGACTTCATTTCAGTGCCACGTACCGTAGCTGAGGTTCTTTTTTATTACACATTTTATGGTGAACTTCAGACGGGGAGAACCCCATGGTCACAAAAACCTGCTTCTCCGTCATGGAAACCGGGAACCTAAGCCCTGGGACTTGAAGTAGCGAACCACATAAGGCCCCGCTAGGCTAGGCATGGTATTGAACCAAACGACAGCAAAGGTGCCCACCACCAAAGGTGGGTGGTGGTGACGGGGCTCGCACCACGGACCATAGGGTGCAAAGCACGCCAGTGACATCGACTGAACCACTGCATCGACACCGCCACCCGGCGTAGATAATGGGCAATCGCAACAGAATCCCGACGTAACCGTTATCCGTTCACCTGTCTAAGCTACGTCGTAGCTTGCACACCTCATTGGTTCTATCATACCAGTCCGAAATACACAGCTTAGATGCGGTTGCTCACACGTTTCACAGACATTCTTAAGAAGAGGAGCAATCACATCAGAGGGTTCAAAGAAGTTGCTAAACCTAAAAATGGCAGGTCACCTTTAGAACACCGTCTACCTGGAAGCAATGTTTACCTGAATCACTGTGCAATACATTCTTATTAGTAGATCCGCGGTATCGAGAAAGCGAAGGTAAATCGGTTCTCATGCTGCATTACACCCCAACTATTGCTATGGTATTATTTGAGAATGACATTTTTCCGAAGAATTTAGTTTACGCATGTTTGTAACCAGCGTTTTACAATACGTATCTCCTGCAAATCTTTCTCTATTTACCGCTGACCGTCTGTATGTGCATCGTCTACCACATCAGATGATGAGCTTTGTATCTTAAGAAGTAATGTGATCATTTTTAGGACAAGTAGCCGCTAGACTACTGATTTTTCATTTACCTACCACCCCGAAATAGATCCTTTCATTTTGCTTGTCAGCCCCCGCCATTTCGGTATCATGTTCAATCCCACCTTCAAGTTCGAGGATGCGGTAAGTTATTCATCCATGTTATCCTCGAATGCATTTTAGGACACTGTGTTACAAGTTGACCAAACCGAATCCAATGTGACTACCCAACCAAGCTTGCGACTGGTAGATACGCTTATCAAGAAGTACCGTGAGGAGCATGATATCGATTCCGACCCGGAGTATAATGCAGCCCTACCAAGAGTTGTGGAAGATGGTGAAAATGCATTCCATCTAACTGGTCAGTATTGCTTGAATTTACTTCTCAGTTCCAGCTAGATGTCGTTCGTGAGAAAAAACGTCGTAATCGCAAAACGAAGGATGAGGTAATGTTTATTGCCAGGAAATTAATAACTACTTGATAGCCCGAGAAGTTCCAGTTCACTCAAGCCGTTGAGAAATACAGTGAAGTATCTTCATTTATTGACTTGAAACTTTCCAAGCCAATATTAAAGGTGAATTAGGAAAAAGATGTTTCATATCGTTTCCGCTAGGCTTTGACGGAAATGTCTCTTGACAAACCGATGCCTATTCAGTGTGCATGTATTCCGGTGGCATTGCTGAATCGTGATATATGCGCTTGTGCCCGAACGGGGTCAGGCAAAACGCTTGCTTTCTTACTACCCATCCTGGATAGAATGACGAAAAAACCATCCGTCTCCAGTAGGTCCGTCACACGGGCCCTGGTCATCAGTCCGACACGCGAGTTGGCCATTCAAATTTTTAAAGTAGCTGAGAAATTAGTGAAATATTGCCCTAAAATTCGTGTACAGTTGGCCGCCGGTAATTCGATATTCCTTGATGATTCAACAAAGTATTCTGCATTTCCCAGGTGGTCTGGATTTGCATTCACAAGAGGCGTCACTTCGACAAAATCCAGATCTAGTTATCGCAACTCCTGGTCGATTGATTGACCACTTGTCAAATGCTCCGAGTTTCAATTTACACCAGATCGAGTATTTGGTTTTGGACGAAGCAGACAAGTATGTTCAGAGATTTTTCAGTTACAAATGTTATCGGCTCACGTTAGGTTGTTGGATGAATACTTCGTAGAACAGATTGGCGAGATAGTGAAACATTGTGGGAAGCAACGACAGACTCTCTTGTTTTCTGCTACAATGACCGAAAGTGTAAGTTTAGTT